ACTGTTGTCAGCGCCCTGGGAATTGCAAACAACTTTCTGGATGAATATCTAGACCTCAAAGTTGCCAAGAAACTGAAGTCGAGCTTCTAACTTTTTCTCTTCCCTTTCCATTAATGCTTGCAGAAGCTATTTCTACCCTGATGGTAATATGGCGTCATAAGTTAAATAAATAAAGAATTTATTCTGTTTTTCTTGAAATGGCTTTGTAAAAGCACACTTTTGAGAATACATTTCCTGTTTAAGAACTGGAATTTGCTTGTGATGGGTATATCCAGATCATCCGTAGAAGGGTATCAACCCCTGGCTTTAGAAGTGTATACTGAAGTCACAACCAGTTCAGTGTGTACAGGAGGGACAAAGCAGCCTAATGTACGTGCTGGGCTTTCTCTGGGTGCTGACATAGCCTCTGAGATGGCTTCTCTCCTGATGGAAAGGCTCCACATGGCTGCATGTGGAGACAGGTGAACACTTAGAGTAGCCAGAGAAGTCATCAACTAGTAGCACAAAATGAATCTGGCTATGAAAATGAACTTTATTAAGAAAAAAGGAAAAAAAAAAGTATCATTTCAAGGAACCACCCAGGGACCTGAGCTAATTGAATAGTCTTGCCCCTGGGCACAGGAAGGAGGGTCCTGATCTCAGCTGTGGAGTCTGGGCTGGGTTCCACTGCACACCCAGCATCACCTGGAGTATGGGGTATGATGCAGGATGCAGAATGTGCACAGAGCACAGGCTGGCTGTTCTGACTTTCACGTGCAATCACTGGCACCATGCAGAGGATGTTTCTTCATTTTCTTTATCTGTAAAATGGGAATGATTCTACCTCACAGCCTACAAAGACCTTAGGAAAATGGAATTAGTTATGAGCATAAACAGTACATTTTAACATTAGGAAAAGCACCCATTGTCAATTTTTCCAAAGAAAGTTGGACAGCCTTGAATCTGGTGTGGGCATTGTCAAAAATTGTTTAATGGGACTTTCTTTTGGGTAGTTACAAAGGAAGTTACAAAGGTTTTGAGTAACAGAAAAAGAAATAAAGGCATTAAAATAATAGTATTTCCAGAATACTAGCAGAGAAGACATGACTTCCTGTATCCCAAATGGCAGAACCTCACTAAATACCCCAGAGTATGGTGACCTGGGAGTGGGGACATCTGGATATTACCAGTGCAGGTACCCCCACTTGTTGGCTCTTCTACTTGGGACAAGGTACCTCATCGGTGAGGGGTCTGGGAGCAAAGAAGAGTCGAGTCCAGAGGGAGATCACCTGTCCTGTCCTACCACTTGCTGGCTGGGCTGCCCTAGCACTTTCTAGCTCTCTGCTTCAGTTTTCTCTTCGGTAAAATGGGGCTGCTACTCGTTCTGAAATGCTATGATCTTATGGTCTTTTTACTTAGTACTCTGACCAGTTGTGATGTGACTTGTATGGTGGCATTTTAATTATACACTTAAGATAATGGAGACTACAAATTTTTTATCCCAAGGCATAACTGTTGCCTAATCATTTCATTTAGAAGTACAGAAAAACTTTACACATCTTCTATTTGAGGATTTTTAAATGTTTCTATTTGTGCTAAAGTAGTTTCTAGGTGGTATAAACCACACACACACACACACACACACACACACACGGTTTGGTTAAACAACATGTGGAAACAGGCAGTGGGTATATCAGGTTGTGAAAGTCCTGTAACTTTAAACGTTAGAACCATAAATTTTATTTCCTTTGTTCTAATTCCATTGTCACCAGGCAACCTTTTGATTATTTGAATTCCTATTAGATTTGGCTACAGGGAGCAAACCATGTTGGAGAGAGAGAGAGATGTGAGTTTCTGATCCATCTGACAGTTATATATAAATTTTTTGTATATTAGCAAATTGACTGATTTCATTTTTGGAGGTTAGATTCATTGCCTCAGAAAGTCAATGTCATGAAAAAAGGAATTTTTCTATATTGAGAATCTTAAGAGGCATAGAAACCAAATGGCAATGTGAAATCCTTGATCCAATCCTGGTTAGAAAACATCTTTGGAAGACATTTGTGAGACAATTTGGACACTTTGAATATAGAACAAGAAGGAGATGACAATAGGGAATTAATGTCAGTTGTATTAGGTGCAATAATGAATGATCTTATGGCCAAGGAGAGAATGCCCCAATTGTTCAGAGCTGTGCGCTGAAGCATTGAGGGACAAAGTGGTTGGATACATAACTTTGAAATGGTTCTACAAAATATATACGCAAAACATTTATGGCAAAATGTTAATAGTGATTACATCTGGTTAAAAGGTTCACTGCACTCTTCTTACTACTTTTCTGGCCATTTGAAAACGTTTCTAGTAAAAATTTGAAAAACTGAGGTTCATGTCTGTAATCCTAGCTGTCTGGGAGGCCAAGGCAGGTGGATAGCTTGAGCTCATGGGTTCGAGACCAGCCCAAGCAAAAAGTGAGACCCTGTCTCTACCAAAAGTAGAAAAACTGAGGCAAGAGAATTGCTTGAGCCCAAAAGTTGGAGGTTGCTGTGAGCTATGATGCCACGGCACTGTACCCAGGGCAACAGCTTGAGCCTCTGTCTCGAAAAATAAAAACAAACAAAAAAATTTTGAAAAATTGGAATAGAATTAAAAACCTGAAGTCAGATTCTTGGTAGCTCTGCAGGTTGTTTTCTGTGTTGAGCACTGTAGGTTTAATTTGGGATTTGGGGGTACTGATGGATCCACAGCCATTGGTGATGGGCTAGTAGCCATCCTGGACACGGGCAGGGACACGGGGGCCCTGTGTGTGTGGGAATTACAATGGTGACTTCTACCATTTGTGTGAAATGAAGCAGGTCTCTCAGGTAGCTTGTTTCAGAGGACATTAGTGTGGGTATCTACTGTCTTTAGATCTTAGAACAAAAAAGGAGAAGGAGAATCAAGGAGAAAATTAAGAGGGGGAAAAAAATCAAAAAGAAAATAAAATGTCAGAGGACTGGTTACCAAAGAGGTAGCCCTGTTCCTTTCTCAGGTATTTTTTCTCCCTCACTTTTCTCTTAGGGATAGGTGCTAGGTGGAGTGTGGCCCAACAAGTCATTAATAAAGAAAAATATCAGTTCATTTGGTTTTCACTCTTTTTTCCCTGATCTTGAAAATGATGGTCAGAGGCAGAGACAGCTCAGTGAATGCTTCTCCATCAGCGATCAGATACTTCTTTCTCACAGGGGTAGATACCTTCTGTCCTCCAAGGTGGATGTGTATTCTCTTCTCCCTTCTCAGTCACACACTGCAGTAGGATTTTATAAAGGTCAGTAAGATTATAAGAACTTGTTTTAAAGGATAAAAATATTTCATTCATTGGGTACCGAACAAATTTCAGGATAAAAAATGTGGCTTGAATTAATCGGGACTTGGAGGAGTAATCAACTCCTCTCCGGGCTTCATGTTGTCATTTCTGTTGTCAGCCTCCCACTGCACCCTCCTTCCTCCCCAGAATCCGTTGATTTTCTGGGATAGTGCTAAACCCACATCAAAGGGACAAAGCCCAGTGCCACAATGTCTCCATTCTTGTGTTATGTGCCATCCAGCCTGGAACTCGTAACCTATCCTGGGTTGGGCTGGCCTCTTCTTCCATAGTCAAATTCATTCCTTCTTTTGGTTCGTGGATATTAAAACTCACCTTTGTTCTGGGCCAATTTTGATGATGACTTTATTGTGTGGCCTAATTTTCTGCTTTGAAATTCGTTGTGTTACTAAGATTTAAAGTTTGATGGGGAGGTCAGCTCTCCTAGAAGTGGTGAGGTCGATTCACAAGGGACTCCAGAGAGGCGGAAAGGGAAAGGGAGTGGAGGAAACAGGTCAGAGAAGGAGAAGAAGGCAAGCCAGGGGGCAACTTCCAGCCTAGCTCCAGCCTCTGCCTGGCCTTGCAGGGGAGCCCTGGAGCTAAAGTACATCTCAGAGTTTGTCCAGAGGAGTTAACTGGACTGTTCCTTTCTTGCACCAGGAAGCCATTGGCTAATGTCAGTCTGGAGGGGTATAAACTCAGTACTTTCAACTCTGGGGTGGGTGCAGGTACCACCAAACTTTGAGAGCTGGAGTGGGGCCTGGTAGAAGGGAGCTGCTCCTGGGGGAGGGGTGTTTATTGACAGCGTCCGCCACAGTGGGGTAAGGCCCCTTGGCTTCCTCCCATTATATTCCTTGATTTTTTCTTTATCTTGAATAAACATTTTACTACTATTTTCCCAAGTCCTCGTAATTTTGAGCTAGTAGAAATTGCTATGGTACAGAATCGATTATGCAAAAAGACCGTGGCTTGTTCCCTGCTACGTTGACTTTCCTCCCCTCCCTTTGCTGTATCCTTCAGAGTGCTGTGGCACATTTAGAAAGTTTCATTTCTGTGAATTCAAAAGACTAGGAATGATTGATCTCTACTATTAAATACATGTTTAAATAATGATACTGCGTTTTCTCAATTAAGACTCAAGAATAAGGAATCTGCTTAATTAAGGTTGGTGATCCAGAGAGGATCCTAAAATAAACTATTCCTGTGGATTGATTCAGATAATGATCTTTTATTTTTGTTACTTTTTTCTTTAAAAGTGGTATGTCAACATCACTTCATTTCTACATTTCAGAGTTCTGTACATTTCTTAAAAGGAAATAAGCAATGCTCAATGTACAAAGTAAAAACAGAAAACTAGAAAAATCTGAGTAAGATGGAGCAAGTTGCCATAGGGCATACGGTACAAATTAGTAAGTAGATGTCATCTGAAGTGCAATACCACTGCTGTGACGATGAGTTAGGGAATGAAATAAAAATACTCTATTTTAAACAAACAGTATATATATATTTATATGTATATATATTTTTACAGATAGTAGACCCAGTGATATCTGCAGTATTGTAAAAACTTATGTACAAATAACTTTTTTTTAGACATTACATATACATCAGCACCGTCGTAAAAACAAAACAAAAACAAAACAACTTTATTAAAATCTACCTCTCTATTAGTTGGTCCCAGTCTGAGTGTTTGAAGGAGGCTTTAAAAAGATAATGGAGCCCACTCCCTCTCCATCAGCCACCTCCATTTCTCACCATTGCTAATATAGGATTTATTTCCTGTACCTTTCAGGAAAAGGTAATTGTGTATTCTGTGTCTTCTTGCCTGTTTCCTTTTTTGTTTGTTTGTTTTCATTTGTTTCCCCTCAGAGTTACCCAGGTGGTATCTCTCCCTGTTCAGGGAGTTCAGGGTCACCCTGCCACCACCTGTTTGGAGAGGTCTCACAGCTCCTGCCTAGGTCTCACTGACCTAGCACCCATGGCCTCACATCCCGCCCCTTGACAACCCTGGGTATGTGGAAAGCAAGTCAAGGGCATTGTTTGCCCATCTCCCTTCTCCCCCAGGCCCTTGGCCCCAGCTTTCCACTGGAACTTGCATTCTCAGACTTCCCGAGTCCACCTGTCCAGCCCTCACGGGCTCCAGCACTTCTGCGGTGAGCACTTGGCAGTGCACAGAAGGAAGCAATTGTTTAGGATCCAGAGGGAGGAGGGGACAGGAGAAAAGTACAAGCCACTGTTACTCATATAGGACAACACTTAGGCCCATGGCCTCCAAGAGGTGGCAGTGTGAGGGGAGGCAAAGTCCACAGAGACTAGCCTGGCCACAGAGGACACTGTCAGTTTCCTTCTGACAGATTTCTCCCAGGGCAGATGTGAGTGAATTACAAAGAGAATAACTGTACAGAACTTTCGAAGTGGATTACTTTGCCCACATGAAAGGAACCAGGAACCACATCTTTCCCCCTTTGATCACCCAAATTTGTAAGGTGGAACAATTGATTTTTGAGTTCTTCCATCTCTTGGGGTTTTATAAAAAGCTTGTTTTTCCAATGAGTGGGAATGATGGGCAAGGCTGATTTTATAGCATCGCCCCGGGGATTTTCCTGGAGGGAGCCAGAACCAGTGAGCTCTAGGTCATTCCTTCCTGGGGATACCGAGAGCCTCAGATGCAGCTCCCATGAACTGACACCCACACATCAGAGCCTCCCTCTCAGTTCTAGGCAGAGATATTCCTTTAGCTTCACACAAGTCGAGGAAAAAAAATGCCAGTGTTGCCTTTGCATTTCAGGACTTCCGTAAGTTCTTCTGGCATTTGTTTAGAGTCCGCCTGGGCTCCCTAAAGACCTAAGTGTCTCTTCTTGGATAGTCTGTGAGGAGAAGCAAGGGTGGGCTGGGGTATAGGCCAGGGGGAATCACACCGGGCAGGGGAGGGGACGAGGGAGGCCAGGTTGGCAGATGCTTGGAAGCCAGCTGGGGTCTCTGCACCCTGTGGCCCCCGACGCAGATGTGAACTACCTGCAAGTGTCAGTATTGCACCAGGCTCCCAGGAGGCTCCAGCCCAACCTGAGGTGATCGCCACCACGGTCCTCAGCAGGAGGCGGCGCCACCACGGTCCTCAGCAGGAGGCGGCGACCCCTTGGACTGCCCCTTCTCCAGACTCAGTTGGCCATCCTTGTGAGGCAACAGCAGCAACACCTCTGCAATTCCAGGGGTCACCACACGGCAGGGACGGATGGGCCAGCAGGACCCTTTGTCATCTCCCTGTGACCATCTTGCCATCTTTGTGTCTAACCTCCAAATACAGTAGTATGTCTTGAAGCCTTCTACTTCTTTCTACCCCGGGTTCAGGGCATTCTGACCTGTGCGCTTGGCCTGTGCCACCACCCAGCAGCCTCTACAGGGCTCTCCCTGGCCAAGGCTCTGCCTCTGTTGTGTCTCCTAAGCTGCAGTCTCCAGATCTGGGGCAGGAGGGGCTTCCGGACACCTCACTCAGGCAACAGGCCCTCTTGGCTGGAGCAGCGCTGGCCGGTCCAGGCCATCACAGGGAGCACTGAGCAGGGCCTCTGGCTGGCTTCGTCTTCCCCCACGGGCTCCTCCTGTGTCTCCCTTGGTAGCAGGCATCTGCATGGCATCTCATCTTGGTTGCTGTGTGAAAATCAGGTGACATGAGGCCCAGTGGGACTGTGGATTGACACCTGGATCTTCCAATGTCAGCCATCTGCAGTTTTGCTCAGTTTACGTGGGTCAAAAAAACAAAAAAACAAGGATGAGCCAACATCCTGTTTCTTTTTCACTTTTTAAGCTTCAACCAGTAGAGTTGTGGCTCCTGGGGGCCCTCTTGACTAGGGGTTACCAAACAATTCATCAAGCTCCTGCATCCACTCATCCCCCGGCCCGCCTTTGATGATGGAGTCCACAAGGTCTGCACTGTCTGGGAGGCCAGGGAAGGAAGCCCCAGCTCCCTCACCACTGTAATTGTATGACATGTCCTGAGGCGTGTTCCGCTCATAGCCCTGGCTCTGGTTGCTGGGAGCAAAGCTGCCACTGGGCATCTGTGGCTGTGCTGGGGGCTGGCTGAATGCTGGCATGCCAGGGACACCCTGGCTCAGGCCAGACAGGACCATTGGCCTCACCTGGCTGGTGCCTTGCTGCCCCGGGAGGGCTGGCATCATCTGCCGACCCATGGCAGCTGGGTTGAGCGTTCTCACTGTGCCTGTGTTAGCGTCCACGACCGACTGGCTCAGTCCCTGTGGGAAGTGCTGCTTGGTCAGTCTCGGCTGGCCAGCTTGCAGTGGGTAGCTGGCGCCGTTGTTGAATGGTCCTAATTCTCCACTAGTCCTCCCAGGCATCCCCTGTAAGCTCCTCTGTTGCCAGCTTTGTGCCCCTTGCTGGACTGTTCCCATAATGTTCTGAAGCCTGGGAGGGGCTTGGGGCCTAGGCAAGGCCTGGCCAACTGGCCCTTTCATCTGCTGGTGCTGCTGGGTGATGGCTGAGTTCACCAGCATGCTCTGACCAAAACCACTCACCATCCCAACCCCTTGCCCAGAGGCAGGCTGCCTTGGTCCCTGGGCTTGGTTGTGTGTGATGCTCATGCCACTTTGGTTTGGGTGCTGCAACATTTGGGTCATTCCTGTGCTCATACTGTACATTCCTGGCTGGCTGGTAGGTGTGTTGCTATAAGGAGCCAGTCCCATCTCTGACTGGGCTGCTGCTGTGGCCATTGTCCCTGGGTTCTGAGAGGGTCCCATTCCCATCATGCTTGTGTTCTGTGCCATCAACCGTGATGTTCGCATGCTCTGGAGGGCTGCTTGGCTTCTCACAGCTGCTATATCCTGGGGAGAGCCTACAGTAAAAAAAAAAACAAAAAACACACACACCACTCACTCTTCTCCATAAGCCATATATTGTAATAAGTTGTTGGAATTTTCTCTGGGAATGACAAAATTCCTTTATGTGAAAAGATTTACTCTGTTAATAAATCTTTAATGAAAATGACTATTATTTTTCTAATTGTAACATATACATTTCTTCTGATTTGTAAAATTTGGAAAGTATTAAAAAAAGGCACAAAGACAAAAATTAAAGTTATCTAAATTTCCACCAATCCACAAATGGCTATTCTTTTATTAACGTACAAAAATCGGGATCCTATCATACATGTGTTTTTGTAACTGACCTTTCTGCTTAACATACCCTGATGTTATTTTTATACTTCCGAATCAAATTATTTCTCACTCTTATGGATGTGATGCTGTCCTCAACCAGGAAGATACCATTTTCTCTGGAGGTGAGAGGAAATTCACCTCTTGGGCTAAATTAAGAAGAAAGGGCTCATCACTTTGCATATTCTGTTTGTGAAGTGGAACGTGGCTCAGTAGAGAATACTATCCACAAAGCCCATTAGACTAATTTCCCTTAAGACTTGAGTAGGATTTGAGAGGTTAAAGGCCATCACTTCTGCTAGGCAGCTATTTTGACAGATGGAACATTTTTTGGATCCACTCTGTAGATTTCCACATGCTCCAGATTCTCTGAATCATAACATGTCACTGCAAACTGGACAGCTTCCTGAGCTGCTAGAAAAAGAAATCCTCCTGCTACTTGGCAATGAACTTTATGCATTTCTGCAGTGAAGTCCATTTCTTCACATTGGCAATGATTACTTCTCTCGGCAGATTGCTAACACACTTTTAATAATGCTGTTTAAAATTTGGCCAGAGTAGCAACACCACGTCACTCAACCTTAATTAGGCATTTGAGTGAGCCCTTCTTTATGTGTTCCCAGGAAATTTCCAACACCAGGCAATGTCATAAAGGACTAGGACGTGCACAAAGATGGATTTTTCTAAGTCCCTGCTCATGATTAAGTCTACAAGCAAAAGAAAAATAGCTTTTCCTGGACATTTAAAGAAGATGCAGCATGGGGGCCAATCGATGTTCTAAGCAAATTTGATCCCACCTGGACCTGTGATGAGAATAGTCTAACCTTGTTAAACTTGGCACCTCGGCAGATAACTGAAGCATGTTTTTGTCTTTTTGATAGGATTATTGATTTCTGGGTAGCAAATATGTCTCCATATTTTCTTCCTTTCTTTAAGAAAGAAAATTACGGAAAATTTGATTATGACTTAAGTTTTTGTGGTCTGAGATCAATAGCATAAGTGCATTGAAAAATGAAAGGAATGGTTTAGGTGGGGAACCTTGAAAGATCTTGGGGAAATTCCTAGAACTGTTTCAATTATTTGTTTTAAGCTTATATCTAAGTAGTTTTAAAAAAAAAAATCAGAAGTTTCCAATGAAACATAGAATGACAGTATATACTGCAATTTGTACTCGGGTTATGAAGTTTTGTGACCTTAACAACTAAATTTGTATTGATTGCATGACCAATCAGATCAACTATGGTGTTGGTGATAATGGGTTATCAAGTTGTTGATAACGAAATTGAACGGAAAAATACTGCTGACTCAGAGATGGATTTCATAGACCCAAATTACATAAACAGGCTGATGGACTGCTGGAAACAGATGACAGGATTTTCACAATTTGAACATTTTCAGGGGTATATTTATAATGGATATGTTGAAGGACTAGATATTGTCTGGACTAATTTTGTGAATAAGAAATAGGTTCCTTTCCTTAGTGGGTAGAAACGCTGCAATGCCTTTTCATAGGTAATGAAATATTAATCTAAGCCAACCTTTAATTTTATTTAGTGTGTATAACTGTACTATCTATATATAATTCTTATTTTAAATAAGGAACTGTATTTTTTTTTTTTTTTTGAGTCTTACTCTGTGGCCCTGGGTAGAGTGCTATGGTATCCTAGCTCACAGCAACCTCAAACTCTTGGGCTTACCACAATGCCCAGTTAGTTTTTCTATTTTTAGTAGAGATGGGGTCTGTTCTTGCTCAGGCTGGTCTCAAACTCCTGAGCTCAGGCAATCTACCTGCCCTGGCCTCCCAGAATGCTAGGATTGTAGGCGTGAGCCATCACACTCGGCCTAAAAAAGGCATTTTAAAACCAGCCTTCAGCACAATATTTTCAACCAACGAGAAATAAAGTCTTTTATTAATCTAGTTTTATTCCTTCAGTAATTTTATTAATAAATATATGAAGGAAAAAAATTCAAACACATCCAAAAAATTAATTTGTCTTTACCTGGTTGCTATATATATTAAACAATAAACTACTGCTTCTTTTTTTCTTTTGTCTAAAACAGATGTTATTGTGAGATACTTTAGTCAAATTAATGTTTTTTGTCAGCTGGAAGGTAATATTTTAATGATATAAAAATTTGAATATACAGTAGAACCTCCAAATTGATTTTTTTGACATCATGTTGTTAAAGAAAATCTTCTAAATTCAAACAGAGATGCATTTCTTCCTAAAAGGATCTATGTCCTATTTTCACTCCCAAGAAGCCTATATTTGTGAAAAATAAGCATTTCCCCATAGGCCTATAATACTACCTACAGGCATAGAACTTGATGAGAGATAGTCATTACGACCTTTGAAATATGTAGCAGTGAGAGTTTGGTGTAGGTTCTTATCCAAGTTATTTCTAATACCAAAAAAAGTTAATTCCCCCCCACAAAAAATTATGTATCAATTTGCTATTTTTCCAGGTGCAAAATATCATGCCATTTCTAGGTCTAAAAATACATGAAAATACTGAAGACAGTAAAAAAATTATACATGAAACCAATCAGTTTAGGGAGCCTAAACTGTTACACTGGCTGTTTAACTTATATCCAGATACATTTTTAGGCTGATTATCTGTGCTTTGGGGTATCAGAAAAGTTCAAGAAATAGAACTTTTAAAACTGGACTCAAAACATTCAGGGTAGCTCATGTAAATATTTGTCTGTGTTCTGTAATACAGAAGAATTATTAAATTTTGGTGGGTCCTTCATCCTCCCTAAATAATAAATGAGTTATCAACCTAGAGAACTTAAGGGATACTAAGCTGGGTTTTAGCAGATTTTCTATTTTTAATTAGCTCATATTATAAAGCAGTGATTCTCAAAGTGTGGTCCCCTAACCAGCCAGAGTCAGCAACTTCTGCGAACTTGTTAGAAATGCAAATTCTCAGGCTCTGACCCAGACTTACTAAATCAGAAACACTAGGGATGGGGTTGGGCTATCTGTGTTTTAATAAGCTTTGTTGGTGGTTCTGATGCAGTCTAAAGTTTGAGGACTACAAGTATAAAGAAGGGGTTGTATCTGCAACAATAACTATTCCCCACTCTTCCCCACCCACAACAAAATGGGAAATGTAATTCTTCAGGGAAAATTGGTACTGATTTAATGTGTTCTACCCCTGTAGAGTGTTCAGTTCCTTTTGTCCTCTGTGTCAAGTCCAAAGGGATCTAGTAGGATGTAAGTGTCCCAGGGATGGAAGGGAGTGGTAGCTACTCAAGCCAGTATTTTCATAGGCAACTGTCAGTGAGATCTGTCAGTAAACATCAATGGCTTTGAGACCCTTTAAACCACAACTCACAGTCCATGACCATATACATGCAGGTTTATAACATTAACCAAAGTTTCTGATGTGCTCTGATAATTTCTATTATATCCCATTTAAGAAATATTGATTGTGACCCATTAAATTGTTTTCATAATCTTGGGCATTGCAACCTGATGACTAAAACATGCTACCCTAGATCAGGAATTTTTCACCCAGTCTATTGATAAACCTCAGGAAGGTGATATCTGTAATGATGTCAAGTTTGTATATATGGTAGAACCTCCATCGTTGACCACCTCCCTACATTAACACCTCCTTAAATTGACCTAATTTTAAACTGCACATGAATGCACCACATGTATGTATCAGGACAGTAGGCCTAGGTCAACATACAGTTGACTACCTCTGTATGTTGCTCAGTTTGTTACGGTCCCTTGGGTGGTCAACTTGCAGAGGTTCTACTGTATTTACATATATGCATAATTCTGTGCAAGGGGCGTCATAGCTTTCTGCAGATTCTTAAAGGGCCAGTTAACTCCTGAGGACCTATTGCTCTAGATCCCACAAAACGGGCAGAGGATGCACATTAGGATTTCTGCTACTAAGTGACTTCTGTAGTCTTCTGAAAACTCTGGTAGATAAGACTGAAAAGGATATGTAGGGTCTTTCTTTATCATGCCCAAGACCCCCAGGGGCTCTCTCTATTAAAAATGGGAGGGCCTGATCTCGAGTGGGCCTTCCACATTTACAGAGGAGTGGCAATGTGTGTCACATACAGTGTGCACACTGCTGTGGGGTCACGATTTGGGATTTCCACAAATAGTGGCAGGATCAGGACAGTCCAGTTAGCCTCAAAGGGCTTATTTGTCTTCCACATTCAGCAGAGATTAGTAGTTGTAAGCCAGATTTGTCTACGCTGGCTGTTAGAAGTGAAGGCTTTGGTTATCTGACCTGCAGAGATTAACAAGACAGATGGGGCGCAGGACTTCTGTTCCTGAGGTTACTAAGATGACAATCTAATATCAACAAGGCTGACAATAGGCCAAGACACTGGTATGTCCTGACTGGTTGTTAAACTACTGATCTTGTAACTTTGGTAACGAGCAACTATCCCAGTCCCAGTTCCCACAGCTCCTCTGACCCCTTCCTGGCCCCACTACAACCTCACTGTGATTGAGTGACCAAATTGCTTTAAAGCCTGGCACAACAGAAGGCCTCCGAAAACCTGTTCTGATTATTTAGCGCCCTTTCCCCACCAATTGTCGAACATATTGAGTATTACCTGGACACAAATACAGCACGGATAGCAATGCCCCTGGCTACATATTCGCTTATGCTGGGAGTACACAGTAGGAGAGGTTTGCACAGGCCTCACCTTGAAACTGATTGACCTGCTGCACTGGGTAAGGATTCCGCTGCTGCTGGAGGTGCTGCCGGGGTAAATGTGATTGCTGCAGCTGCTGGAGAGAGGACAAGAGGGGCGGGGAGTGAGATGGGAGAGAGTAAGCAATTAAATATCCTGGTAATTCTTAGGAAGAAAAGGTTCCCCCCTCCCCAAAACTAAACTTTGTGGTGAAGAATAAAAATACATACAGCCAAAGTGAACAAAGTCTAAGTATACAGTTGGATTGATTTTCACAAAATGAACACACTCTAGTCAGCCTCTACATCAAGAAATAGAACACTGGCAGGGCATGGTGGCTCACGCCTGTAATCCTAGCACTCTGGGAGGCCAAGTTGGGTGGACTGCTTGAGTTCAGGAGTTCAAGACCAGCTTGAGCAAGAGTGAAACCTGTCTCTACTAAAAACCGAAAAAGCTAGCTGAGTATTGTGGCAGGCACCTATAGTCCCAGCTATCTGGGAGGCTGAAGCAAGAGGATCATGCAAACCCAAGAGTTTAAGGTTGCTGTGAGCTGTGACATCATGGCATTCTACCCACAGCAACACAGTGAGACTCTGTCTCAAAAAAAAAGAAAAGAAAAAAGAAACAGAACACTGCCAGGATCCCCTCACACCTTCCAGCCATTGCTCTCCTGTGACCCAGAGGCACTGACATCCTGACTTTCAGCAACATAGATGGGTTATGTCTGCGTTTGTGCTTTGGTGCTTTTGCGTCTGGCTGCTTGCATTCAGCACTGTATCTGTGAGACTCAGCCACACTGATGTGTACCCTTGTTTCTTCCTTCTCACTGTTGAATGTCATATGTCAAATTGTAAATACCACAATTTATTTACCTATTCTACCAGTGATTCATTCAGGGTGTTTCCAGTTTTGGGCTGCTATGAACCTTTTGGTGAACATCTGCACGTGGGTTTCTGACGTGTGACTTGCTGGCTCTTGAAGAATGTGCACCAAGGGAAGAAGTTTTGACCTGGACTTCCAAGATCAGCGTACTTTCCTTAGCACGGTGGGGACCAAGCTCAAAGCCATAGGCAACTACTTTTTAAATGACCTAAATAGATGCTTTGGGTACAGGAAGATGGGATCCTCAGGGACCATTAAAAAAAAAAAAAAAAGAAAGCCAACCTTATTCCCAGGAAGCCGTATTGCCTGTAATAAAATACATCTCTTCAAGTAAACTATTCAGCATTTGCTGCTTTGAGGAAACCACATGGGATGCCACATGTACCAGGAGGCCTGCTTTTTAGTCTTTCTTCCTCCACTCAAGGGGATTCTGCTGTTGCCAATATCCTGGGAAGGCTATTATCATTGTCATGTTGCATGTGCGAAGGGAGAGAAAATAAGAGTGAGGTGGAAAGAGCAGAGAGAGAGGTTTTAGTTCCAGGTCCGCTGTCAAGTAGCTGCATGACCTTGGGGATGTCGCATACACTGCTTCCTGCAGCTGCTGCGTATTCATTAAGCACCTTTCATCTGCAAGGGCTATAAAGAACACACAGAAGGTCCCGGCTCCTTAGAGTGTTCATTATAAAATTAACACATATTGACCACTTCTTAACATGCGTGTTTATTTCTAATTTTTTCTCTTTTCTGTTTGTTCCCGGGCAGCTCTGTAATTCTTTCTCTTTCTTTTTCTTTTTTTCCTTCTCTACAAGGCCAGCCAGGATTCTGGCAACCAAAGAAAAAACCCAGCTTCTGCTCTGTGGAGCCCATCCTGTGGTGCCTACCATAGTTTCTGCAGAAAACTGTTGAAATGAATTGATTGTGTAGATTATTATAGTGTAGACAAACCATGCAAATCTTTCAGGCAGCAGTATAAGGACATTACTGAGAGTAAGCTGAGCATTTAAAAGCTTCTCCTCAAAGTTCCCATATCATATAAGAATTTATCTGCCCCCCTTACAACTAGGAAAGAGCCGTGGGGGCAGCCTATAGTGGACTGAGGGTGTGGCCCGGAGTCAGGCGCCCCCAGTTCCATCCTGCCTCTCCTGCTTTTTAGCTCTGTGGTCTCACATAAATCACGTAAGCTCCCTGGCCTCAGTTTCCTCATTTGTAAAATGAAGGGGCTTTATGACCTGGAGTGCTTCTTTCAGATCTAAAATTCACAGTTCTGTCGATTCTTTGTGAATGGGTGAGAAGTGACACTCTTGGAGGACAAGGCATTAAATGTTAATTCAAGCCTGCTTTCAACCTGCTCTGCTCTGATTTCCAGTTCTACTGAGAATCATTGGAAAGTTCCCAAAGATATGCAAAATCTTAAATCCTTCTGTTTTCACTCACGGGTCCTTTCAGGAAACCCAATATGCTGTTGCCAAAATTGAAAGTGTTACTGCAGGGCCATGTTACCTGCTCCACCAGATCAAGACCATCCGCTTGGTGTTGATGTGGTAATATTCACTCTTCAAACACAAAACTGAGTGCTTTCCACCTGTAGGCCCCTGATAACCTGCCTGGATAACCACGGTCTCCAGGTGCCGGGAAGATGGGACATTGACTTGGCTGCACTCCCTGACACCAGGGTCATGTGATAGGGCCTCACATATGTTTGTGTACACTGTACAGCTTCCAAAGAATTTTACACACATCACCTCAGGTGACCCTTAAAGCAGCTATATGAAGAAGGCTGGGAAATTACTAAAACCTAACCTAGCAGAAGAAGGAGGATGAGTGATTTTCCCCAAATCACATCACAAGCAAAAGAAAGGACAAATTCTGACCCTGAGACAAGCCATCTTTCCCTGGTCCCTCACCATCTCCTAGTACACACGATTGCTCAGGTCACAGCTTCCCCTTGCCCCACCTCTTCCAAAGAGTGCTGTAACTCTTGGTGTCCTGGATCCGAGGGGTCTCACCTAATCGCTCACTTGCCACTGGGGGTCATTTTGATGCATCTCTTCTCATCCTGTCCCTCCTTGCTCCTCAGCGTGGGGCAGGCCTTGCCCTGAGGGACCACTCCCCGCCCATGCCCCTGGCTGGTGCATGTCCCCTGACTCTACTTTGCCTTGGTCATAGCACACATATCAAAAGTCATCACGCAAACATATCAGGCACATCTGAAATTTCCTGGGGGTTGGCTGAGGAGATGATTTATAGAGCTCAGCTGCCCTCAGCAGCTCCATTTCTCACTGCCTGAGAGAGATGAGGATGATTCCTTGTCACACACCTTATGCAGGTGAGAGGGATAGAGGTTTGTTTGTACAATAGCTGCCAGGCAGCTGACTGACCTTGGTGAAAAGGGAGATAATTACACAGCTGTTCAGGAACAAAAGCAAAAAAGGGAACATAAGTGAACTGTGATCAACAGTATAATTTTTTTCTTTAGGGGATGGCTGGTGTTACTTGAACTGCTGTTCTTGGTTAGTTGCGACCTCAACCTGCCAGTGTCCTACACAGTATCCTGTATGCAGGTGGCGGTGGATGCTTGGGAAATTTCCAAGATTCTGATCCTACTGGAAGGATAATGACAACGCAGAGCTATTCTGGGCTTTGAGCCTTATGTGACAGCCTCATACCTCCCATAATAAAGAGGCTGCTGCCCGAGATCCCGTGCAGACCCCACAGGAGCTGTTGAGGGATCTCTTGTGGACAGCCTCAGGCCTTTCCCTGGGATAATACTAAATCAGGCAAGGGCATCTCTGAAAACAAAATAAATCGAAACCTACAGGAGCAGTCCACAGGGAAGGCTTTCTTTTAAAGCGGGAGGAATTATATGGCAGGGGTGGCCAAAGATGCCTAAAGTAAAGCTGTATTTGTGTTAGGTCTTTCTTTAACTCACAGATTTCCTAAGCTGTGTTAAAAGCTGTTGGGAATTTTCTGAAGGCTGCCCCCTCTCTGTGACCCTGGGTTCAGGTTTCCAGGTAGTTCTGTAGGCCCTATTGTTTTGCTATTGTTCCTGGTCCATTGTTCACAACCAATTCTATAGAATTCTCCTTAATCCCTCCTGTCACTTTCCTTCAAGAAACAAAATCCTCTGAATTATATTTTTTGCTTCACACCAGAAATATTAGGGCTCATGAAGAATCTGAGACAGCCCCCTCTCTCCTGTGAGCCAATTAGGAAGACCCCTGCACCAGAAATCAGAAATCAGGAGAAAAGGAATTAGGCTTGAATCAAAGAAATGTTTCTGGTGAATGAGCCTTCAAACCGAGGGCTGAAACCTGTCTTTTAAGAACAAACTAATTCATTAAAGGAAAAAAACGCCCTAACTAATTGAAAGATCTAAGTTTTGCAGGCTCTTCTGTGATCCTGGAAAATGTTAGACTGTAAACATCTTGATGGGAGACATGAACTATGCCTCCCTCCTGGATAGCAGGTGCTGAAAAAATGCTAGTTGAATTAATGAATCACGCCAAGGGCCACATTACCTGCTCAGCCAGAATCTGCTGCTGCTGCTGCTGCTGCTGTTGCTGCTGCCTTTGCTCCCGCAGGAACTGTTGCTTCTGCTGCTCCATCAGCTGGGCCCGCTGATCAATGAGCATCTGTTTCATGATGGCTGCCTGGGGCTGGCTGCCCAGGAAGCTGGGACCGGAGGGACTGGTTCCAGAGACGATGCCGCCTGAGCCTGGTGGCACAGAGGGCTGCATGGGGCCTGTGGTTCGGGGAAGCCCAACCGGGTGCTGCTCCTGGGAGGACAAGAAGAGAGTGATGCAGTGATGCCCCAGGGACACTCAACATCATTTAAAAGAAAGGTCCTGAAGAAGGGGAATGGGGCAGATGTCTCAGCTTGGGCACCCAAGGGGTCTGAGTGGCATGAATAACATTTCCATAAAAACAACCTCAAACCTGGCTGTAAACCTGAGTAAAGAGGTTCAAAGAGGACAGTAAGACAATACGGTTCTGGGAAATATGAAGCCAAGTCCAGTTCTTTTGGGATGGGACTGACTAACGGATGAATGTGGGCTGGGTATTCAACTAACGTGTATTCCTCCGAGGAAGGGAAATAAGCCCTCAGGTTGAGTTTCCCATAAGTCTGGAATGTGCAAGACTTTATCTGTTAGTCCTTATTCTTTGCAGTCAACTTGGCCACAATGGATTTTTTTTTTTTTTTTTGAGACAGTCTCACTATGTTTCCCTCAGTAGAGGGCTATGGTATAATAGCTCACAGCAACCTCAAACTCTTGGGCTCAAGTGATCCTCTTGCCTCAGCCTCCCAAGTAGCTGGGACTACAGGCATCTGCCACAACACCTGGTTATTTTTTGTTGTTGTCATTGTTGTTTAGCAGGTCTGGGTTGGTATCGAACCCACCAGCCCTGGTGTATGTGGCTGGCACCCGAACCAGTGAGCAACAGGCACCGAGCCCACAATGCACATTTTCTTAACAAGAGAAATATTTGCAGAAGACTGCTGGGATTTATTAATCAACATCAGATATTTAATGGAATTCTAATTAATGGCAACATTTGAGAATCCTGATATGTGTGTTTTAAAAAATCATGCTGGTCAGAGTTTTTGATAGTAAGCATTGGGAATGTTTAAAGCAAGGTAACCTCCCAGCATCTTTAAAAATAGAACTGGATCTCATCTGTCTGGAGCAATTTATATACGGGGGTTTGGATTTGGTCTCTTGATTCTATAATTATGTGTCAGTCAGTCAAATAATAGCAACTTTTAAGGACCGATCCTTAGGGAATGAGAGGTAAAGTGGCAAAGATTTAATCCCATGCAGCCCAAGTTACTTGTTGGTGAATGTGCTGATGTGCTCAGAGCCAGACTGTGCAGATTATTAGGGAAAAATGGCTGATGGGAAGAGTGTGTGCGACCTTAAGACTCATTTCTGGACACCTTCTTTCCTGTTCTATCAAGCACTCCTGGCAGTGGCAAGTACTGTCTGAAATTCGGCAGAAATATTCCTTCTAAATCTAACTCATTAAAATTTCAAGCAATTAAGCTGAACATGGAGGAGTTGACATAAATTAAATGGGCACACATATAGGGACACACAGAGTCATTTTGTGAAGTGCTACTATTAGCCCTAAATAAGAAATGAATATGAATTACTCTGTAGTTATTAAAAAAATTAATCCAAAATAAATTTTAATATTTCTCCTCTTATTTGCTTTGCTACCTTTTCAATAGAGATATTGTCAAACTTGCTGGCAACTTCCTCTCAGGGTATATACTTGCAGTTTCTCTGTTTCTCCTAGAGAGTCCTGGATTCGCTACCCCACAGCCGGGCTATGACCCTCCCTTCCCTCTATCGTCCAGGGATGAGCCCCTCATGCACCTGCGAGTTACTTAAACTGCATCTTCAATTGTTCTTCTCCTCTCCCTCCATCTACCCAAACAGAAAAATAAGCAAAACAGACAAACAAAACCCCAAACACAAAACATAATCCGCTCACCCCAGAAACAAAAAAAACTAAAGAAGTGCTGATCACTTGGTGCGATAGCAGGTCATACAGCTAGTAAATGGAAGACCCTAACCAGCAGTACTAGAAGGCTCAAATGCAGAATTCCTTTTACTAGCTCAGGCCTTAGACTGTGGGTTAATAGTGCCATGTGTGCACCTGATAATTGCCTGTAGACTAAATACATGGAGAGTTTCTCATAAAAGTATTACATTCAATTTTTTATTTGTAAGGGCTGTAGCTGAAGCTAATAAAACTTTTAGTCCTTGTATTTTCTCTGTAAATGGACAATG